AAATACATCCTACATATCAGATATTTACATCACGATTGATAACAGTAGCAAAATTACAGTTACGAAGTAGCAACGAAAATAATACTATGGTTGGGGGGTCACCACAACATGAGGAACTGTATTTAGGGGTCCCGGAATCACTGCATTAATAGGGCTATAGTTTCAAAACACAAGGGTAGAAATAGTCCTACTACATTCCATGATTGTTAGGCCTCATCTGGAGTATTGTGTCCATTTCTAGATGACTTATTTTATAAAGGATACACTCAAGTTTGGACAGGTTCAGCAGCAAGAATGATAAGAGGTCCAGAGAATAAAACAACAATTGATTTTTTGATTGAACTTTTTCTGAAGATTGAATTCAAGACACGTAATAATAATTTTAAAAGATCAAACTAAAATATTAATTTACAAAAGTGAAAGAAAAATCAACAATTGAGATTAAGAGAACTGAACACACTCTGAAAAAAAGAGAAGACTGAGTAGACTTCACGGCTGGAATCACTGGGTTGTTGTGCGTTTTCCGGGCCGTAAATAAAGAGCAGCACTCAGAAAGCACGGGAATCCCAGACAAGAATCAATAAGGGCCAGCTAACACCTCCCAACAAAGGGTCAGAAGGCTGAGAATATAGTAAATAAATAAATAAGATTATCGCAGGCAGGAGACTGCCAGGCTTTGAGGTTGCAAGGCAATTCAATGCTAATCAAGGTGGTCATTTACAACATTCACACTTGCCTCCAGCAGACAAGAGTTCTTTCTCCCACTCTGGGCTTTCCTAAGATATATAAATTTCACTTGCCTAGTTTCCAACAGATCTCTCAACCTCTGAGGATGCCTTCCATGGATGTGGGTGAAACGTCAGGAGAGAATGCTTCTGGAACATGGCCATACAGCCTGGAAAACTCACAGCAACCCAAGACTGAAGAGTTTTACAATCATACCTATTGTGACCACTAGAGGGAGACAAAGTATTCTGAACAGCTAAATAAATGCCCCCTAGAGGCGAATAGAAGAATTGCATCATTGGGATATGGAAATGGATGAAGAAAGCACAATTTTGAGTGGACATTGAGTAACTAACTAGGGCTATTGTTGGAACCAGAGTGGTGTAATGGTTTGTGCACTGGAGTATGACTCTTGAGAGCAGTGTTTGAGACCCTGCTCAGCCCCCAAAACTTACTTTGTGCAGGTCACACACTCTCAGCCCCAGAAAACCCTATCATTGGTTCATTATATGTTGTAAATGGCCTGAAGGCACACAACAGCACTGCTGTCACCTCACTACCTCTGAGGATGCTTGCCATCGATGCAGGCGAAACGTCAGGAGAAATGCCTCTAGAACATGGCCATATAGCCCGAAAAAACCCACAAGAACTTAGCACTGCTGTACTTCCTCATCTGACTCACTTTACCTCTCTCATACTCATAGATGGTCAAATGACCCAGATCCAGCCACTACAATTCCTGAATTTGGAAGAAATATGTAAGTATGTAGTTTCAGATGTAGAGACTATATCTAAATTCCAAGAGAGCCTATATCAGTCCTAGTTTATGTCAATTCCACTGGTAACACCGACTTGCCTGATCTTTCTCAGTGCATCCACACTATGAAGTTATACCAAGTTGATACCACTCTATTTTATTTTTATTTTGCCACTTTGGCAGGCTGCTGCAAGCCCACATTGAAGGGCTATTTTACGGGTTGCCTAAGACTAAAAGGTACATAAGAAACATATAGATAACTATTATAGAATCAATATCATAGGAGAGTTAAAGGAGGAATCAGAAGGGAGACACACATTTGTATTTACACTCTGTCCTGTGCCCTTGGCCTTGCCTTTCTCTCTCATTCTAACCAGGTATGGGCAAA